CGACGTCCTGAAAGAAATCATAATCATCATCCAATGTAGTACGCGCAGGGCCGCTCTGGCCCGAGGACGCCCCTAACAGTCGGCACCCTCTGCCGCCTGGATTCTCCGATGGCAAGGGCGGTGAGCGGTGCGTGCCGTCCGAAGACGGTCGGTGCCCTCTGCCGCCGCTCCCCGAAGGTGAGGTCGGTGAGCAGTGCGTGCTGCCAGGGGCCAACCGCGTAGGCGTAGGCGGAGTAGCCCTCTGTGATGCCTTAGACGCCGAGGACCCAGCTGCGGGCGCAACCGACGTAGGCGGAGCCGCAGTCAAAGTCGGAGCTGCCCCCCACCCCGAAGAGCGGGCCAGTGGGGGAAATAATGTAGGCGCCGTAGTCCCAGCCGAGGTCATGGTACTGGAAGCCGTTGTGGGCAGGGAGGTCTGACTATGAGGGGCTGAATCCCTCTCCTCCCTGCCCAAGGTACCCGCCGCCGTCGAAGATGACGAAGGCGCACCCTCAACATGTTGCGCTGATATAGAGCTAGCCATGGTGACAAAGAGCCAACGCAACAGCATACCAGGCCGAGTACGTTCACGCGGACGTATTGGCCCTCTTGGCCACAATGTCCAGGTAGCTCTGCTGGAAACGCTTGGACTTTTCGCGCACGATGTCGGGGGTGTCGCTCTCCCCGACGTGGACGCCAGCTGCGCCCAAAGTCGCGCGGCAATCCTCCTCAGACATCTCAGTGTCAGGTGGCTCAGCACTAGCTTCGGCACCATCAGCAGGAGCAAGTGCAGGTTCAGGCGGCTTGGCCTGGGGCAGGTTCTGCAGCTTACTGACCGTGTCGGCCATGGCCTGCGGCTCCTTGACCATGTCGGCGCCGAGGCCGAGGCCTGTTGCGACCTTGCCCAGCTGCTCCACACTGACCGCGAAGGAGGGCAACAAGTCCGCAAGCGACGGTGGCTGCGTGCCCTCGGGCGGCTGGGCTCGCGACATGGCGGTGCGGGTCTGCTGCTCCAAGCGGAGGACCTCAGCAGTGGCCTCTCGCAACTTGGAGTCCGTGTCGGCCAGGCCGCGAGTGAGCTCGTCAATCTTCTTCTGCTGCTCATCGCGGGTGGCCTGGATGGTAGCCTGTCGCGAACGGGCAGCAGACAGTCTTGACGCCAAAGACCTGGCCTGATGCTCGATGGGCCTGTCTTGAAAGAGCTCGGCGTCCAACTTCGCCCGCTCTTCGCGCAATTTGGCCACAGTATCAGCATCAGCAGGGTCAGTAGTGGCACGGAGCATCCGATCCAGCGTCTTGATCCTGTTCCGCTTGACAGTGTCGGCATCCCCTGGCGCAGCAGCCCATGGTGGGCTTGCGCCTGTTGTGCCCGTAGCCGCTGGCCCATGCCCAGGGGGATGCTCGCGGAGCTTGGTGAGCTGCGCCTCAAGCTCCTTGACCTTGGCCGCGAGCGACTGCTGCTTGGCCGAGACACTGGGCTGCGACGCCACTTTGTTCTCCTTGAAACAGTTGCTCTTGTGCAGGCCGCACTTCTTACAGTAGACAAGAGTGGAAGCATTGAACCACGGTTGATTCGTGACGTCGTGCCTGCACCACTTGCAGTACCATGGCGAAGCGTTGTCCTTGCGCGTCGGGGCCATCGTGGCGCCGAAGCCGCAGGGACGGGCGGCGAGTGCCACAGGCCAGAGGGCAGCCTGGCCGTGGCGGCAAAACTGCTGAGGGAGCCCAACTCCTCGGTGTAGGCGAAAAGCTGTCGAGCGCAAGCGCTCTGGCGCGGCCGCGGACTAGCGGTATCCGTGAATGCCAATACGGGCTCAGCCCGCAAAAGCATGAACCTTGAGCCAAAATGGCTACGGAGGAGGAGGAGGAGGATAAGGAGGAGGAGGAGGAGGATGAGGAGGAGGAGGAGGAGGAGGAGGGGAGGAGGAGGAGGAGGAGAGGGGGAGGGGGAGGAGGGGAGGATGAGGAGGAGGAGGGAGGAGGAGGAGGGGAAAACGAGGAGGAGGAGGAGGAGGAGGAGGAGAGGAGGAGGAGGAGGAGGAGGAGGGGGAGGAGGATGAGGAGGAGGATTAGGAGGAGGGAGGAGGAGGAGGGGAGGAGGCGGAGGAGGAGGAGGAGGAAGAGGAGGAGAGGAGGAGGAGGAGGAGGAGGAGGAAGGGAGGCGGATCGAGGAGGGGGAGGAGGCGGATCGAGGAGGAGGAGGAGAAGGAGGAGGAGAAGGAGGAGGAGGAGGAGGAGAGGGGAGGAGGAGGAGGAGGAAACGAGGAGGAGGAGGAGGAGGAGCAGGAGGAGGAGGAGGAGGAGGAGGAGGAGGAGGAGGAGGAGGAGGGGGAGGAGGAGGAGGAGGAGGAGGAGGAGGAGGAGGAGGAGGGAGGAGGAGGAGGAGGGAAGGAGGGAGGAGGAGGAGGAGGAGGAGGAGGAGGAGAGGAGGAGGAGGAGGAGGAGGAGGCGGATCGAGGAGGGGGAGGAGGAGATCGAGGAGGAGGAGGAGAAGGAGGAGGAGGAGGAGGAGGAGGAGGAGGAGGAAAACGAGCAGGAGGAGGAGGAGGAGGAGGAGGATGAGGAGGAGGAGGAGGGGGAGGAGGAGGAGGAGGAGGAGGAGGAGGCGGAGGAGGAAGAGGAGGGAGGAGGCATGCTGGGCCACGTGCTTCCCGCGTCAGCACACGGCCGTATCGGTGCAGGCGGCCGGCCGCCTGGGGCAAGCTGCACGGGCAGAAGCCCTTCTTGCCCCGGGGGGGTAGGTTATACATTTCCAAACGAATCTTATAATAATCGGAGGTTGCCTCGGACTGACCCCGGACTGACCCTGGACTGACCCTGGACTGAACCCGGACTACAATGGCAACGACAACATCTTCTCAGCAGCGTTCCCGGGGCATACTGAGGCCCCAGCTCGGTAAAATTAGACTCGGTAAAAATAGATCTCGGCTAAACTAGGTCGGCATCTGATATCTATTTTAAACGAGTGGAGCGTAATCGGAGGTTGCCTCTGGGCACCCCACGAAGGCCCCAGAAACCATAGCAACGGCCCGGGGGAACGGCAGGACGGTCCTAAGAGGGCTCCAGAACGTGTCTAGATGGGCCTCGCAGGCTGTCTAGACAGGCCACGCGGGGGACGGTTGCTGCCGCCCCAAGGGGTCGGCGGTGTGGCGTAAGCCAATGATGATCGCAATGGAACGGAGACCCCCAACCGGGAGATCGTTTCGCTTCGTTCGTGTCGTGCGTGCGGGCGGGGCGAAGCTGCGTGGGCGCGCGAGAGGAATGAACCCGCCGTTGCTAGGGCGAAGTCAAGGCAAATGATCCTCCCCCGTCCGTCCGTCCGTCTGGCGGTGGCTCGCGGTGTCCCGCGGTGTCCTGTGGTGTCCGCCGTTGCTAGGGCGAAGTCACGACAAATGATTCTCCCCTGTCCGTCCGTCCGTCCGTCCGTCTGGCGGTGGCTCGCGGTGTCCCGCGGTTCCCGTGGTGTCCCGTTGAGTGAGATCGATAATGAGATCGATAATGAGAGCGATAGTGAGATCGATGTGATGCCCCGAGGTGTCCCGTGGTGTCCCAAAAAATGAGATCGATAGTGAGATCGACAGGTGTCCCGTGATGTCCCGTTGAATGAGGTCGAACGTGAGATCGATAGTGAGATCGATGTGGTGCCCCGAGGTGTCCCGTGGTGTCAAAAACACGTGAGATCGATCATCAGATCGATCGTGAGATCGACAGGTGTCCCGTGGTGTCCCGTGGTGTCCCGTTGAGTGAGATCGATAGTGAGATCGATAATGGGACCGATAGTGAGATCGAGAGGTGTCCCGCGGTGTCCCGTGGTGTCCCGTTGAATGAGATCGACAATGAGATCGATAGTGGGATCGACAAGTGTCCCGTGGTGCCCCGTGGTGTCCCGTGGTGTGAGATCGATAGTGAGATCGATTGAGTCAATTGTTGGTTCCCCCCCTCTCCCCCCCACAACCTTCTTATCACCCGAAAGAGTGGTCGTATAGGTAATAGTGTTTTTGGTACTTCGTTTGGTTTGTGCGGTTTGCTTTTGTGTAGCACATTGGAACCACTTCAGGGCAGCCAGCCAGCCGCCGCCAAATCAACACTGATGAAATCAATGCTGACCCAATACAAGACGAGGGTAGTGCCGTGATAGGATCGGCTCAGGATGCGTTCCAGATTTCCAGTCCCTGGCGGCCCTCCTTTGTGTAGCCCGTGTGGAACATTCGGAACTGCGGGGGATTCTCGAAATCTTGGACCGTATCATACATGAACTGCTGCCCCTCTGACAATACCGTCTTCCCAGAAGTGCGAGAGAGCGCATTCTATCGGTTCTCTTCATCTCGCGAGCTTCGATCCGACGTCACACTGCTGCGAATGCAAGCTTGCGCCAATACTCAGCCCGAGACCCCAAGACATACCTCAAACACCTTTCCAGTTACGGCGACAACCTCACACCACCACTCATGGTGCCACCTCACGCTTATCCCAGAGCGAAGCGGGAACTTGAGGCTTCCATTTTTGTTGATCCCTCTCTCTCTCTCTCTCGCTCGCTTCGAATGCACGATTTTTACATCAACGCATCATTGATCTATCTGTCTATATAGAGTGAGAGAGGGCGAGAGAGAACGAGAGAGAGAGAGAGAGAGAGAGCGAGGCACCGAGAGAGAGAGAGAGAGAGAAGAAGAGAACTAATGAGAGAGAGAGAGAGCGAGAGATGGAGAGGAAAAGAGAGTGCGAGAGGGAGAGAGAGAGAGAGAGAGAAGGAGAGACAGCGGAAGATAACTAATAGACAGGAGGTCGAATGAAAGAAACTAACGTGGGTATCCGACGGGCAGCATATCACGGAACACCTCTTCGTGGTATGCTGGAACGCCAGCATCAACGGGAACCATCAACCAGAAACACACGGTCATCGGCTAGGAACACATCGACATCGACATCGCCATCTCTCTCTTTATCTCTATCGCTGTATATATATGTAGGTATATACAGACATATATGTTACAATGCCCTTGTCACCGCTACGCTTCCATCTATAGCTTCCTCTCTGCTCTCTCCGTGCCTGGTTCTTTCCCGCCTCTGAGTGGGAGGCCGAGGGTGGGGGAGGTGGAGGACGACCTCCAGCAGTCCTCTGCCGTGCCGATGTCGTCCACGGACATCCTGAAACCCAGGTCAACAGTTTCCGCCCGGGGGGACCTGCTCGGGGACGGCGTGGGGCATGGGCGCGCGGGCTGCCCTACCGGGGGCAGCGTCGGCGGACAGAAAGCATCTCCAGTCAGGAACTATTGCTTAGCGCGTCGCGGCGGCGGCCCTGGGGACACGCCAAGCCCTTCAAAATAGTAGCGCGTCGACCCGTTCTGCGGGGCGGGAGGCTCGGGGAGGGCTCGGGACGTTGACACTCGGGGACTGGGACGTGGTTAGCTTGTCGCGCCGAAGCGTGGTGGGCCAGAACTGGCGGCGCGACGCGCGAAGCAAACGTTCCCGACCGTACACCCACTGCTCTTTCGCAGTGCAGGCGCGGATGCTCTCCTCGGAAGGAATGCCACCCACACGCGCCGCCCCCTTCCCCTAAGCTCAGCCTCGCGTGGCGCTCTTTCCCACAGGAAATGGCATGCGCCCACACACACACACACAACACACTTTGTTTGAGTCAGCGGCGGTCCTCAAGCGCGGGTCGCAGATGGAAGTGCTAATTGCGATCGAGCGTTGTCGAAGGCACAGTGTACGAGACGCCGCACACTGTAAAGTGCAGACAGTGGGTAGTGTGCTGGAGGGACTGTAATCCCAAACGTAGACATGCAGCGGCCATGAAACTGACACCACACACATCACACACACACACACACTTTCTGGGCTCCGCGCGTACTTCTGGGGTCGGCGTTGGCCTCCCTTCCTTGGCGTGCGGAGGCGCCGTTCGAGGGGCACGGCGTCGATCAAAGAACTCCGCGCGGAGCTCTGGAACTCTGTATGTATGCAATGCATTCCCAAATAGGCCTTGCCCATTAAAAAAACAAATTCCTACCTGTTTTGTGGAAGAACCTGTGGGTCCGGGGTGCCAGTTCAGAGGCGGCCCCCAACGCTGCTTGGTTCCCTGGTCTTTGTCTCCTTTAGGCGTTCCTCCTCCTCCTCCTCCTCCTCCTCCTCTCTCCTCCTCCTCCTCCTCCTGCTCCTCCTCCTCCTCCTCCTCCTCCTCCTCCTCCTCCTCTCTCCTCCTCCTCCTCCTCCTCTTCCTCCTCCTCTTGTTCCCTGGGCTCCCCTGTCCGTGCAATGCCACGCAGTGCCAAGCAATGCTCTGCACCGCGCTGCTCTGCGCTGCTCTGGCCTTCGCCGATCTGGACTCTCTAGCCCGCAGCCCCAGAGGACGCGACAACTTCCTCTGGGGTACAGTCGGGGCGTTGACCTAAGGAACCCTAAATAAGGAACGGGGCCCCTTTCTCCCATAAGTTGAACTTCGATTTCCCATGGAAAACCTCAGGGAAACAGAAGGCAAACTGTAGAACAATCAAGGAACACCGAGCCCCTCCCCAACGAAAAGGGTTCCTTCTGCAGGGCCCCGGCTGTAATCCGTCACCCCAGATCCACTTTCGCGGGCCCTCAGGCCCGACAGCGGCCCCCCATCGCCGAAATCGGGGAACCGCTGCCGGATTGAGCAGCATCGTATCGTCGGAGACCTGGGTCCCAACCTTTTCTCCAAGGCGGGCCCCCCCCCCCCCGACTGTGACACCACCGGGGGGGCCCCAAGAGGCCCCCAAGAAGCCCCCAGCTGCCGCGAGGGCTCCCAAGAGAGACCCCAACAGACCTCTCCACAGAGCATCTTGTCCACGACCCAGTCTTACCCAAGGCCACTGACCACTACATACACTATGGGCGGGCGGAGTCGGCGAAGCGATCCGCCGCCCCTCCGGGCACAGCGTGTGAGACCACCACGGCATGATCTGCAGGTACTGCTTCTCGTGAGTCCTCTCATAAACGCACTTTGAATACCTGCCCCTGCCTCTGACTCTCTCCGAGCCCCTCCTCCTCCTCCTCCTCCTCCTCCTGCTCCTCCTCCTCCTCCTCCTCCTCCTCCTCCTCCCCTCCTGGGGCCCTCCCCGCGGACCCCTCATTCCGCCGGCTCGAGGGCCTAAGGCCTGTCCACGACCCAGTCTTACCCAAGGTCCACGCCTGTCCTCTAAGGCAGGCCCCCCCGACCTGTGCTGACCCCCAGCCACAGCCCCGGCCTGGTGGCGGCGTGGGCCGCCCGCGCGCTGGCCAGGTCCACGTCCGCGGCCGCGGCGGGCCACCGAGTGCTCCGCGGCGGGCCGACTTCGGCGGCGTCGGCGCCGTCCGCGCCTGAGAACGCGAGGCCGAGGTCGACCACCTCCACGCTGTCAGTGGATCCCGCCGTCCTGGGGCCGCCCGACCCCCCACCTCCGCCTCCACCACCTCCCCCTCCTCTTCCACCACCACCACCTCCTCCTCCGTCTCCGTCTCCGTCTCCGTCGTCTCCTCCGTCTCCTCCTCCTCCTCCTCCTCCTCCTCTGTCTCCTCCTCCTC